TTTGAGTTGTTACAAAAATTTGGGAGTAATTTGAGTTTCAAATTGGATGGCAATTCTGTAATTTCGATGAACAGTGTTCACCGCTCTTGCTACACCGCCGGCGACCTTCGGTTTGCTTCCAGGCACGGTCATGGCCGTCTTTGGCATCGTCGCTGGCGTGGTGAAGGTCACTGCGTAGCTTTCTTGCGCTTCTGAGCCGCTCTATTTAGCCTTGGCCGTCGCCGTTTGCCCCCTCTCTCTTGCTCTGTTTTCCCGACGCCACGGCCATAACTCCGGCGAGCTCTCACCATCACTTTAGCGCACTCCAGCCGCTGCAACGCTTGTCACAGCTCCGCCTACTCCTTGCGCACCCAACCAACCTGCTTTTGTCGCTTGTCCTCACCGGAAACTCACGGTGCGCGTTCTTCTTCCTCGCGGTCGGCAACCTCACCCGCGATCCCATTTCGTCGTGGTCAGCGCGTTGCGGTGAGTCTCTTTCCTTGCCGAGTCGTGATTCAGTTTCGCCACGATGTCGTGGTGCTTTGTACCTTGATGCTTGATCAAATTGTTCACCGCAGCCACCGGAGCGTCACCGTCGCCGTTGCTTGCTCTGCCGTGACCGCTGTGTCCGTCGAACGGTGTCTCCAATGCTCCTCCGGCCTTGTGCTCTGCTCAGTCATGTTTGGGGTGAGCTGCTGATGCTTCCTGGGCCATCTGTTTAAGCTTTACAAGTCTCACGTCGCCAGCGTAGCGTAGCCACGCTGTCATGGCCGCCATGGCCGGCGTAGTGCTCGGTCCGGTCCGAGTAGTCGGGTCCACCTATGCCCCCAAATCGATGCGCCTAGTCGAGGGTAGTGTTTTGGTACCTTGGTCGTCATCGTTGGTCTCGCCGTCGGCGAGATATCGCCGGTCAACGCGCGTGTCGCCGGAGTCAAAGCCTGAGGTTGAAGATGACATGTGGGGTCGGGATGTCAGTGACGGTGTAGTTCAAAAATGGATTTTTCTATTTTCTAGAATGAATTAATAGTGTTTATTTTTGTTATTTTTGTGTAGATTTATTTAGAGCTCCAAAAATTATGAAAATTTTTGTGTGACTTCTCTGTGATGTATATTATTTAGGAAAAATATGAAATGTTGTTTTTCAGTACTTTTTGAATGTGATAAAAATTGCTCAATGAATTAATAAATGAGTTTCTAGGATTTTTTCTAGGCTTATTTATGTATCCAAAAATTATGAAAATTATTTTGTCACTTAGTTATCATGTGATGAACATTTACAAAAATTTTGAGGCCAATTGAAATAAGTTGATTTATTTCATAATTCTTAATTAATTAATTAATTCATAAAAGCAAATAGTAACATTTAGTGATTTAGGTGTTGTTTGAGTTTTTGATTGAGTGATGTCCTTGGGTCATTAGTTGGTGATGATCCTTGGTAATTGATGTGAGTGTTGCGAAAATGTTTTAGTTAGTTTAACTTGTAACTGTACCGCGAAGGAAAGTTGTATTTAAGTTGTTAATTTTGCATCCATCATCGAGCATCATATTTCGTATTCCGCATCATATTAAACATGGCATTGTTACTACGTGTAGTGAACGAAGGTGAACACGTGGTAGTTAATCAAGTAGTTGAGAAGGTTGATCCGTCTGTGGAGGTTGGTGTTGATATCGGTGGAACGACTCCGGACTCGGACTTTTCCGTCAACGAAGGCAAGCCCCGGATACATACAACCCTACCTTGTATTTTACAAATTGATTTCACTTTTGCTTCTTTTACTGCATTAAGTGATTAGGAGTCAAGTGAAAATCAAATTGGTATATTACCAACCTTGTTATTCCATATTTACCATATTACCAGTTTTAAATTCGTATATGCCTAGTGTTGCTTAGCTATGCTTAGAACGATGAAAGTCGGGTAATTACCTGTCACCTGCAAGTTTTAAATGGAACTTTGGTTACTTATGTTATCATGTGATATGGGAATGTGGAGTAATAAATCTAGACCGGGCGGACTCGGTATATGGGAGCCGCAAGACATGGAGGTCTTGTGAGCGGGTTCTTTCCGCATGTGTCGATTAAGGTCCGTCCGTTGATGAATTGCATGAGGTGAGACTGTGTAGTACTAACCACATACTCCGGTAAGCCTTAACTTGGCTATTCTATTACGAGAATGGCTACTCGCGCACTGGGAGTGGAGAGATGGCGAGAATAGTGTGTACCCATGTGGCAATGGGCTGGATTGGTGGAGTACTGTATTCTCGGGTGGCGCGGACCCGTTCTTGTTTTAGAGGATCCGAGGATAGGTTGATATATGTAAGTCGGAGACCTGCATATGTCGTGTGGTCTAGAATTCCCAGCTGGGTTTAATCGGTTCGAATCGTCGTTGCTCCTCGGTTATGCAGACTCAACTCACTGTTCATCATCGTAGTAATTAATAATTGAAACTTGAGGATGGTTTGAGAAAGTGTTGGATACGAAGTTTCATGATCTCAATACAGATCGTGTCAGCTTTGTATATGATCTTATGAAGTTTTAAATATTGAAATAAAGAATTTTGTTAAAGAGCTTTTACGCAAAAAAACTTTGATTATTGCTAAAGCCATACCTTGAATCTCCTGAGCCTGCATTCTTAAGTTCTATCAGTTTTTATTTTCGGTTAAATCTTGTTGAGTACTTTTGTACTCAGGGTTCGTTAACCCTTGTTGCAGGTGAGGCTCATGAGCATATCTGTTTTGGATCGTGCTGCATGACGGTTGTTCCTTGTGATGACGATATGTAAATGTGTAGCCCTTTGGCAGGGCAGCTTTAATTGTGTGTTTTATAATACATTATAATGTTACTCCACTACTTTGTTTTGTATTATTAATCGAACTTAGTTGTATGGTTTGAAACAAATGTTTGTAAACTATGTTATTGTAAGTCTTCCGCTATATTTACTCTGGTGTATCTATTTGAATAAACTATTGTAATACTGCAATGACTCTGTAATGTGATCCTGCTCGGAAATCATGGATGATTCGGGGTTCCCCGAAGACACCCAACAGTCTTCTTAAGTTACCGGGAACGTATGCATAGATGTCAAAGGTCGTTGAACAGTGACAGATGCATGTGGGCCCTATAATTTAGGAGATTCTGCCACACATGTGGAGGAACCAACTACTAACAAACTTGTGGCCGTTATGTTGGAAGCAGGTGCAGAGATCCTACGTGCGGCCGGCCGAACTAATCGCAACGGGTGTCGCAGTATTCATGACCATACGCGGCAGGCACAGCCTCCATCCTATGCGCAGTAGAGTACTGTATGCACCATCCAGTTGCCTGTATGTTCCGAACGTCAACCCGAGGTGAGAGTGAGACGTGACCGTCTTTGGTGACGCGAGAACGATGGCGACGGCCATCAGAAAAACCGGTGAGAGCAGAGGGCAATTCCGATACTAGATAACCACCGAAGTAGGAACACACAAACGCAGCAGGCGAATCGGATGACGATGCAGCGCGCGCCGTAGCTGAGGCTGAGAGGCACCGGGCGGGCTCGTCGGCCGTCCATTTTACGGCGATGCTTATTCATCGTTCGACTCGATTCGATTCGAGGAGCACCAAATAAACTTGCCTTGCCGACTGGGACCTCCCCACCAATGATTCCTCTGTTGTTTATCTTGGTAAATACTCCTATAAAATATACTCAGAGGACGGAAGCGTCCCACATGTGTTTGTTTTTTTTTCTTTCTTTACATTTACACAAGCGTCCGACGATTTACGGACACGGACACGGACGACACGGGCATGGGTCACGTCCCCGACCACCCCCGAAGGGTCAGCGTCAGCCTGCAAGTAGCAGATGACACGAAGAAGAGTCCAAGCGCGCGCCCACAGGACAGGAGCGCGTCTGCTGCCTGTTTGGCGACGGCAGACGCCAGGCGGGGGCGGGGGCCCCGCGCCGCAATTCACGAAAAAAGATGCCGTCTGCGTCTGCGTCTGGTTGGTCTGCCCCTCCGTGTTCTGTTCATCAGGGCCCCAGCTAGTACACTGTCCTTTTTCCAGCTTTCACGCTCATCCTTACTGTACACAGCTCGTTCACCGGCGAAGATAATACGGGGTGATGGGCTGTCACGTTGACGCATGTATGGAGTATTAAATATAGATTAATTATAAAATTAATTACATAGTTTACGACTAATTTGTGAGACGGATCTTTTAACCCTAATTGGTCCATGACTGAACAATGTTGTGCTACAGTAAACATATGCTAATGAAAGATTAATTAGACTTAAAAATTATCTCATGGAGTGCTAACGGATTATATAATTTATTTTTTATTAGTATCAAACACCCCATACGACACCGTCGTTTTAGTCATCGAATCTAAACACCCACGTACTAGCAAAGCCAACTGGCCGGTGTTTCGACGGCTCGACCTCTGCCAGAATCGATGCTTAATTCAGTGTAAAGTGTCGCGAGATAGAAGAAGATACTCCTAAATGCCCCCTCTTTTTCCAACTGCCAGTGTTAACGTGCTTCCCGACGATAGGAACGTATCGAAATACCGTATCTTGCTAGAATCATTCATAATCATAGTGTGTGCGCCTCCATTGAGCACGTCGATGGTCTCGTAGCCGCACAAGCTGGCGCTGCGCGTCCGTATGCAACTCAGTAACTTGAATTCAGTGCAGTAACTGAGCACAGCGTCCTTGCAACAAGAGCAATTTAAGTCGTATAATGCCAGATACTAGGTGAATGTCAATCTTGTTTTACTATCGTTCGTTTCTTTTATACTATAGAGTATCACAATGAATCTTGTTAAAACTGCGTGAGATTTACAAGTCCCCAACTACTACCACCCAAGAACAATGTACAGGCCGCGTCCTCGTGCCACAGATCGACGACGTCCAGATTTGTCTGAATCGTCCGTCGCGTGTTCCGTCCAATCTACCGAGCAGAGCAGGCGGCGGCGGCAGTCCCGCACGCGCGTCCGTGCGCGGCCGAAAAACGCGCGAGGCGCCAGCGCGCGACGCCCGACGGGCCTACAGGGCGGAGGAGGCGAAGTGCGTCGCCTCCGCCGCGACGGTGTCGGCGAACCGCTGGAGCGCCTCGCGCATCCACAGGTGCGGGCACCGGGCGATGGCCTCGGCGGCGGAGACCCACTCCCTGCGGCGCGCGGCCATCTCAGGCCACCGGTCCAGCTCGGCGGTGACGCGGAGCGGGAGCACGAACCCTTCGTACGTGGCGTCCGGGTAGCTGCGGCTGCGGTAGCACCAGCGGCCCAGGGCCGGGCCGGTCTCCCCGACCACGCCGGCCTCCTCGGCGGCCTCGCGACGGGCCGCCTCGTCCATGGACTCGTCCAGCTCCCACCCGCCCTTGGGGATCAGCACGCCCCCCGCGGGGCCCTTCTTCTGCGAGCTGATCACGAGCACCTCCACCACCTCGCCGTCCGCGCGCACGCGGTACGGGACGCAGCCCACCACCACGCGGCCGCCCGTGCTCGCGCTGTACCGCTGCAGCTCACGGCCTTGGCGAGCAACCATCACCGCTGCCATGGATGCGACGCTGATTTCTCTCTCGAACAAATTGCTTGCTTTGCTTTCTTGGATGCTTTGATCTTGCGAATTCGCTCCTCGTGGCCTCGTGGGAGGAGGGGAGGTTGGATTCTCAGATAGAAATAGCTAAGGAGTGAGATGCGGTCGCGCTATATTTGGATTGGATCTTCGCTGCCTTGCCTGCCAGGAGGAGAGGAGAGGAGGTGCAGGAGCCGGATTTGGATTGGGGCAGATGGAATGGAAGGCGTTCTTCTTGGCTATTAAATAGGAAAAGCCGGGCGTGCGCCGCGGTTGCTGGTCGCTGTCGTTGCCGAGTGGGCACGGGCACCACGCGACAACAAGGGAAGGGACCAAAATTAAAAGATGGGCACGCGGCACCAGCGCGCTCTGCCTTGGCGTGTGGACAGGGTGCATGGACTGCCTCTGCACTGTAGCTGTCTGGCACTGTGGCTGCCTTCTCTTATAGTACCTGGTTTTCTGTGGCGATGCATGCCAGGGTACACTAGCACCTGGTTTCTGTGGCGATGCATGCTTGGACAGGCGCGGTTCAACGTTGTTGATCGACAGCTTCTAGGTGCTTACTACCTTAGTACTTGGTTCTGGCCTTCTGGGTGTTTATGGTCGATCTGTGACACCTCATTTTTCCTGTTCAGTTGAGAAAGGGGGATTTAGACTAGAGGAACTTGGAAAACAGAATGCATGACTTTTTCCGTTACATTGTTTCTAGATGCATTTTAGAAGCACAGGACCATTCTATGGAAGATGACTATTTTGCTTGAAAAAATATGATCCAATTGTTGTGTTTACGAGATTTGTATATTTGCGTTGAATCTTATGCCATATATAGGAATGTTGTTTTCTTCATTTATCAGCACCTTTTAGATACGCACGTGCTCCGCTCTTCGCTACAATACTTTGGCTTTTCTGCCGTGATGTTGGCCCGAGCACGTAGATGGTTGAATGTTGAACTATAGAGCCCCCAAATTTACTTCTAGGTTCATTTTGATCCATGGAAGTTTCTTTTCTCCCTGAGTTTGAAGAACAGAACTAAGGTTAGATGACCTAATACTTGACCTTTTTTGCGAATTCATTAGAAAGTTTTCAAGTTCTTTCTAGATTTTATCGTCTTGAGTGAAAGCCTTGGACAATTCTATTAAAAAGGACGTATATATTGCTTCTACATATTTTTCAACGGACAAATTATTGAAAGCAATACTGCTTCTAGATATTTTTCATCTACCTCCACAGTATAGTATGAGATCCACATATTCTAGTCATGTTTGAGTTGAATTTCAGTACGAACAACGAAGTCTTGCTTTCTAGATTTATAATTATAATAAATAGTTTACATATGCTACCTTTGAATATTATCACCGCAATTTACAAGGTTCTCAGGTGTACTTTTTTTTTGGCATAGAAACCATAAATCAGGGTTACTAAACAACTAGTTGTGCGAATTTGATGTTTCTGTGTCATAAAATCAGCAAGGAATGAAGTTGAGGAATATAGGACTATTGAAGCCATTGCCCACAAAACAATTTTGTTCTGTTGGGATATGATATGAGGGGGGGAAAGAATATTCCGACACGCTGTGGATTTAGTACGTTGCTATATATACTATCATCGTCAAGTGGATATGGCTGTAGTATATACATGGTTTATTCACAGCTGACATGAAATATAGCTCGAGAAATTTGCCCTTATCTGAATCCAGTTCCCATTTCCCAATACTAGTCTATAAACGGAATAACGGATAGAACCAGCAGCACACAGACTTACTACACATCCGCTTTGGTTGACCTGCTCGCTTCAGTTAAAAGAAAAGATCACTCTTCTTGGCTTTGTTTGTGAGAGAAAGATACTATTCCAACTAAAAATTTATGATCGTTTATGATAAGCCACGGCCAAACTGAACAGGCGACAAGCTGTAGCTTCACAGATCCCAAACCGATAAGCCCTGGCATCGCCCGAGTGTTGTGTTACCAACCAAATCAGCTGCCATTTCAACCGTTATAGGTCCAATGGACCACGTCCACGCAAGCAGCCTGCTTGTGATAAAAGCGCGTAGGCGAGGGCATCTGGGCCTTCGCAGCTGCTTCTCTCGCTTCACCCCCTGCCGCTTTTTCCAGTCGCCGGGACGGCGCTCGCGTCGGTTTGCGCGCGCTCGCCATCTTCTCCTCCGGTCCTCCTGCCTCACGCGCCCCCAGCCTACTCCGCCGCCGCGGCTCCTCCCCGGCGACCACCACGCCAAGCTCCGGTCCGACGCGCTGCGCACTCTTTTTCTCCGCTCCGTCGCCCGCTCGTCCCTCGCAGTCCAAAGAAACGCACTAGTTTATGACGACACAAGGGTACATGAAACTCTTTAGTCCATCAATCTTTTCCATCGTGTGTTCCATGTGGACCAGAAATTGCTAGTTTTTTCGATAACCGCCACTTTGTGTTCCTGCCTGCCTGTAGTCACCAGCATCATCCTCCTGTCTAGTTTATCGTTGAGAACCGTACCGGCCTGTGTCATCGTCATCGAGCATGCATGCTGGTTGTACCTACTGCACTGCACGTCTGTACCCATTTTTTTTTTTTCTAAGAGCTTTTCACGGAAATATTTTCTTCGAAGAGCTTTTCATTTCACTGAAAAGGTGAAAGACGGAAGGAACAGTCCAAGTGTGCGCACGCACGCACTGCTCTGCTGGGTGCTCATCGTGCCGGCTCCCGGCACTAAAATGGTTCTTTTTGGGAACAGACACCAAGCTATTTTTTTTAAAAAAAAATCGTGAACCGTGACCGTGATGTGCTCGGCTCCCGGCTCGCGAGAACGAGCGGAGTCCATGGCGAGGGGTCATGCAATCCTCCGCGGAATCCCATGCATGCATATCCCCCAATTGTCCCTCGATCGCGTACGACGTGCGGGGCGGTGCCGCAGTTTTCGCCATGTCGGCCGGTCCTTGGGATCGGCCGGCGGGAGGGCGGCGCTGACCCTCCTCACACAAGCAAGTCACCACCGACCCGCCGTGCCGGGCGGGGAGTGCACGCCAGTCGCCTGCCACACAAATTACGTGCGCGCGTTTGGGATTGGGGTTCTTCGTCGTCGACCGACCTGCACCTGCTAGCTAGCTCGGGCACGGGTGGATACAAACAATGGAACGAGTCGTCGCCTGACGTGCGTGGTGCATGGCAGCGGCCAGATGGATTGGATGGCACGGTCGCCCGTCGTCCAACCCAGCGGCGCGCCGCCCACGGGTTCGTGCTCCTGCGTCCCGCCTGTACCTACTACCTCTGTGGACTGTGGTGACTTGCTGCAAGTACGGTAGCGGTGGTGTGGTGCTTATACATACACTACGTAGATCGAAGAAAACAGAGGCAGGCAGTAGTGTCGAACGTGCACGTACGTACGTAGGTACTCGATCCTGCGCACAAATCCATTGGTGCAGTGATGACTGATGAGTACCACCGTCGGCCAAAAAAAGTACTGTAACATGCGTTCCTAAGCGCAGGGCCAATGGAGGCTAATAGTTTGTGCTAGTTTCACCCAGAAAGATGCCACATTCACACAAAAGCATTTGGGGCAAATAATAATTTTCAATTTTCCTATCCATCAGTTACCTGAAATTTGTGCTTTGTTCAGGCGACATGTTGTTCGTCCATCAGCATGTTCGCTTGCCCGTAAACGATCGTAAATTTTCAGCCGGGAACAGTGTTTTTCTCTCACACCAAACCAGCCAGCAGTAAATAATCCACGATACGATATGGCCTCCCGAACAGGCTGCATATCGCTTCAAGATTTATGTACGCCTTTAAGGGTGTCTGCTCATCTGATGGCTACTACTTCTCGTCTGAATGGAAGCCATATCTCAGGCACCTGAAGTATAGCAGGACCCGATAATTTTACAACGCAAGCTGCTTAAACAAAAATGTTCGTGGGTCAGATATTGTTTGCTCTTTTGCATAACTTGATCAGACATTGCCCCAGAGCAAACATCAGAATTCCTCCTCTCTCACCCGACTCATGCTTTGGTGGTAGCTTCAGCTTTTGGACTGATGAGACCAACTGTTGCTTCTGCAAGTCACTATACGCACTGCGAGGCTACCAACTGATGATTTGACGTGGACGCTCGGCGCCAATTTAGGGGTTGTTTAGGGCTTGTTTAGTTCCAAAAGTTTTTCAAAAAATGCTGCAGTAGCCATCACATCGAATTTTGCGATATGTATGTGGAACATTAAATGTAGACGAAAAAAAATTAATTGCACAGTTTGGTTGGAAATTGCGAGACGAACGTTTTGAGCCTAATTAGTCCATGATTGAACACTAATTGCTAAATAAAAACGAAAGTGCTACAGTAGCCAAATTCTCAAAATTTGTGAACTAAACACAGCCTTAGTTGGTGAGTTGAAAATTTTTAGGTGTCACATCGGATGTGTCGGATGTCGGGAGGGGTTTTTGATACTAATAAAAAAACAAATTACAGAACCCATCAAAAAACTGTGAGACGAATCTAATAATATTAATTAATCGGTCATTAGCACATGTGGGACTGTAGCACTTAAGTCTTTTCATAGACTAATTAGGCTTAAAAGATTCGTCTCGCGATTTCCAACCAAACTGTGCAATTAGTTTTTTTTTCGTCTACATTTAATGCTCCATGCGTCGCTAAGATTCGATGTGACATTTTGGATTGAAAATTTTTGAAAACTAATCAGGGCCTTAGAGTTTGAGGCAGTACGCCATGTCCTTGCTTTGGGGAAGCCCTAAGTAGCTTAATTGCATAAGTCGTGGATAACTTTATTTGGAGTTTGGAACCTATTCGTGTGCAGGGAAAATTGAAAAGTGCAAAATACAAAACTGGTGAAATACAACGATTAATGACCATTTGCGTGGACCGTGAAAATGACGCTATTCTACTCAATTAAAGGCAAAGGGTATGACTCACACTATATATACCCTGTGTTTCATGGCTAAAAATTATATATACATAGGACTCAACTCATAGTAGAGGTCCGTCAAT